TTCCACCACCCTGGGCTGTTTCACAACCTGAAGGCACCTTTTCTGTCAAGGGCTGAGTCAGCCCAGGCCAGGGCCTGGGGAGGAGGAAAAACACCAGACAAGTTGTTTATGACAGTGAGATGTGCCGCAGGCTCATCATGCTCTGGGGCCGCCACCTGCTTTCTTCCCCTGCGTGTGACCAACCTTCTCTGTCCCCTTCTTTACAGAGTTCACAAGCGGGCATTGGGCATGGCCTCTCTGACCAGCAGACCCTGGTCTACTCCTTTTAACCTAGTCAGGCTCTAGCCGGCTTGGGGAGACCAAATCACCACTGTGTGTGCTGACAGCAAGACTGCAGGGGTGCAGAAGAGAGGAGAGGTCCTTGCGGACCAGACTAAAACAGTATCAGATGCATCTAATCCAGTTTCTGGCCCTGCCACCTTCTGTGTTTGGCACACTGTATTTTTCCAAAAATGTTTGCAACAATATTTCCCAGTTCACATGGTATTCTATGTTATGACCTTGACCCTTCTTCTACCGAGAGGTGTGGTCTCCTCTCTTTGAACCTGGGTGGGTTTGTGACCCACTTGTGACCACAAAAATGTCAGAAGTGGTCAAAGTGACCCCGCGGGCCTTCTGAGGCAAGGTCAGTAAAGATGTCACTTGCCCCTTGCCTGCTGGACACTCCAGCTGGGCGCCTGCACCTGCACGCAAGCAGTCTGGCTGCCCCGAGGCCACCATGCTGTGAGGAAGCCTACTCGCCCATGAGGGGTTGCACGTGGAGGCCCTGTCACTATGCAGAGACACGACCAAAGAGAGACTCCCGCCAGCCCGCGGTGCCGCCAGCACACTACTGTCTCTGCTCCAGCAACTGCATCAAAGGCTCCAAACTAGGAACATTTCATTCGATGGCGCCCTCCCCAAATTTTGGACCCATAGAAAGCACGAGACAAGAGCTAGTGTTTTAAACGCTCGTCCGGGGGAGGTGTGTTATGCAACAGGAGAGCCCTAGAACAGTCTCCCGTAAGCGACTCCATCCTCCTGAGCCTGGGGCCCCGCACCCATGAAATGTGAACAAGGGCCGCCTCACTGGTCCTGGGCTGAGGTGTGGGCGCTGGTGAAGTAAGTGAGAGAGTGAGGGACGAGGGAAGTCTGAGCCCATGCTCCCCAGCCTGCCCTGGCAGCCAGACTCAAAGCCACCCTCCAAGAAATCCGCATTACCAAAACTCTTGAACCTTGCAAGGAAACGGAGTCAGGCTGCCACTGAAATGTCCCCTGTGAAGTGCTGATCATTTCAGATGGGCTCTGGTTGGAAGGCAGGGTTTTAAAGGTGGGAGTTGTCTAGGACACCCTCTGCCTTTCCCTCTCTGACCATGTTACAGATCCCTCAAACCCTGAGGGCCTCACGCCAGGCTACTCACTGCAATGGTCCTGTTTGAGTCCAGCAAGATAGGGGACCCGGCCGGGAGGAGGGGAGAGACGACTCAGACATTGTCAGTTAAAACAAGCTGTCTTTGTAGGAGGACTGAGGACCCGGGCAAGGAGAAGTCTGGCTGGAAGCCTTTCCAATATACTGCCCAATAGAGAGAGAGCGAGAATGCAGAGTTCTCAACTTTGCATTGCCAACAAACATCTCCGGATGGCCTAGAAGCTGAACATGTCTTCTGCATATTCTTCTGTGGCTCACTGATCTGTTTCTCGCAGAGGGTAGGAACAGACAGCAGGTGGGGTCAAGACCACCGACTCACAGAAGCAGGGGGGCTTGGCTGGGATGGTGTGAAACCCAGACTGATTTGGGGACTTCCAAATCAGTTCAAACAGAGCCGTCTGAACTCAGGGGCTGGTGTCAGTAACTGGTATTTCCAGGACCTTCAACAGCTAGCAAGGGTTTGGGCATGTACTGTCCGCTCTCATTCATTCGCTCATTCATTCTAACATTTGTTGGTCTCCTCCATACGTATGCCGGGAGGAAGAGTGACAACGACGGGGCTAGAGAAAGAAGAATTAGACAAACACAGGGGCCAGTCAAGAGGAGGAAACTAGCACGTCCCAGCTGACTCCATCACTGAGCAGCCTGCTGCCCCGTCAGCTTCCCAGCTGTTTATTGTAGAGCTCACCCTGTGCACCGTACAGTGGAGTTACTCTCGCCAGTCCCCGCCGCAATCCTGCAAGGTCAAAGTACCATTCGACACATATTTTGCAGAAGAAGAAACTGTAAAGAAGGAAAGTTTGCATAAGTGACCTGGAGTCCTGTGGCCTGAGGATGAGGTAGGTAACATGTGAACCTGAGGGTCTTTTAACACGGTGCATATGGCTTCCCCTCTCTGGAGTGTGATCATACATTCCAATACTAAACTCCATGGACATGTAGAAGGACAGAAGGACAGTGAGCCTCAACTGGGGGAATTGTGGAAGGCTTCACGGGAGTGGGTGGGTAACAAAGATTTGAAGGATGAGGATGAATTGCAAGGGGGAGGAGGAGATGGGATCAGTGGCAGCACGGAGTGTGGCCGGGACATATGACCCTGAGCCATAAAAAAGACAGAAAAGGAGCCAGGGACCCAGGCAACCTCAGTGTCGAGCAAAAGGTGAGGCTGCAATGGAAGGCTGTGCACAGATCAGGGAAGGCTTTGAATGCCAAATTAAACTTCTATTCCATAGGCAATACAAAACAGTTGATATGGGTATCTGTGGTCATATCTATCATTTGTCCACTCTCTGTGTAGTTATTGATCATTTGCTATGTTCAAGCTCTCCGGAAGTCTCAGGGTATACTGTAGTAAAAAGTAATAAATAAATAAAACAAAACAACTAAGACAATGGTTCTTAAATCTAGAAGTGGAGACAGATAATGAAGCAATAAAAACTCAAACAAATATACGGTTGTGATTGTACTCGTATAGGATGAAAATAAACAGGGTCTGTAAGAGAGAGCGACGGGGTGCTGCTTCAGAAAGGGGATGTGGGCGGGCCTCCCTGAGGGGAGGACGTGTGAAAGAGTGGACAGGGGCAGCGGGAAGGGTCCCTGGGTGGGGGAGAGGGTCTGAAAGGGGGCTGGCATGGAGGGACAGCCAAGGGTGAGATTACGTGAAGCCTTATTCTGGGTCACCTGAAGGAGTCTGGATCTTCTGAGAGAATGGGAGGCTGCTGAAGAATTTTAAGCAGGAAAACGAGACGGTCTGATTTATAATTTTCAAAGGTCACTGCTGTGCTAAAAATAAGGCAGCAAGAGTGGAAGCAGGGCAGACGGGCCAGGAGACTACTGCAGTGGGTCCGGGGAATAGACAAGGGGCCTCTGGACCAGGATGGAGACAACAGAGATGGGAAGGTACTTTTTGGGAGAGGAACTGGCAGGTTGGCCATGGGGCCTGAGGAGCGGGAGGGATGAGCAGCGGCCTCCCGTGCATTTAGCCTGAGCAGCCGAGTGGATGCGGTGCCGTGACTGGGAGTGCAGAAGCCTGAGGGTAGTGGAATAAGCTCAGGGAAGAGACTCGGAGTTCAGTGTGAATTCGAGATGCCACTGAGACACTAAGCAGCCAGGTCCTAAGTTGGAAGTAGGGAGAGAGGCAGATCATGGAATCGGTTTCTGAACCGCCAGTCCTCTGGGACCCTCAAGCCGCAAGCTTGCTGACTGTATGGCATGTTCCGCTCTGCGCAGCTCTCCACCTCCTGCTCCTCCTGTCAGAGGACACTATTCTCGAGCATCCTGAGGTCTCTCGGAGAGTGGCAGTGACTGCGGCCCCCTCTGTTCTCCTGTCTCAGGGCCTGGGATCTGGTGCATTGAATGAGCACATAAGCAGGAATCAAGAGACCAACCTGGTTTCAATCAGCAACTTGCCATGTGACCTTGGCCATCTCCCTGCTCTGGGCCTAACTTCTCTATGGGTAAATGTACGGTCTCTCGGGTCCTTGATAGCATTAACATGGTGTGTTCAATACAATAAGCTTATGAAAAATCCCATCCTCATTCTTTCATCAACAAATATTTACTGAGAACTTGCTCTATGTTGAGTAGTTTTGGGCACTCAGGACACACAGCAAACAAAACTCACAAAGATCCCTGTCTTCATGGAATTTTGTTCTAGTTATGGGAGACAAACCATCAACCGTACACATCCGTAAGTTATTGAGAACGTCAGAAAGTGAAAGTGATAGTGCTATAAAGTAAGGATGAAGGACAGTGTAAGGGGAGTACAGGGGCACATTGTCGCACTAAGTACAGTGGTCAGAGGAGCCTCCCTGAAAAGGTGGCGCTGGAGTGGGCTTGGAGGTGGTGAAGGAGTCGGCCAGCACCCAGGAGCAGGATCCTCCTCATCAGAAACACAAGCCCTGACCAGCCATTTCATTTTTGGCCTCTTGCTAAGTCCAGCCCAATCCCACTACTGGAGACAGTAGTCAGCCTTGGGGATGAGCTCCCCCTGATGGGAGTCAGAAACATCTCCTTCGTGACTCATGACAGCTTCTTGAGGAAGGCCTCCCCACCTCTCTGAGCAGCCCCAGAGGGAACACATCTCACACACACCTTCCTGCCTGGCCTGTGGCCTCCCTTCTCCATCCTGCTCCTTCCCCTTCATCTCTGCTGCCGTCTCCATACTTCTCACTCCCTGCAGCTCTTCCAGAACCACCTGTGAGCCCGCATAGCCTGGCCGGCCCTGAAGGGAGTCAAGGTCCAGCCCCACTCATCAGATATCATATTTCACTCCCCCTTTCTCCATAGCTGTGCGCTGTGGCCAGCTCTGATTACCATTCCCATTTTGCAGATGAGAACTTGGAAGTGACTTGTCTAGTGAGGCCCATCAAGAACTGGCACAATGAGGACTGAAGCCCATTCATTCATTCATTCATTCATTCATTCATATATTTAGCAAGTGTCTTTTACATGCCAGATGCCATTCTGGGACACAGGGAAGAGAAAAACATAGTCCTAGTCCTCATGAAGATCTTTCCTTGCTATCATCCTGCCTCCAATAATAAAATTTAAGTCCTACTTGCTCCCTGTTTTGAAAGCCCCACCTCGGGGTGCCTGGGTAGCTCAGTCGGTTGAGCGTCTGACTTCCGCTCAGGTCATGATCTCACCGTATGTGGGTTCGAGCCCCACGTTGGGCTCTGTGCTGACAGCCAGCTCAGGGTCTGGAGCCTGTTTCAGATTCTGTATCCCCCTCTCTCTCTAACCCTCCCCTGCTTACTCTCTCTCTCTCTCTCTCAGAAATAAATTTTTAAAAAAACATTAAAAAAAAAGAGAAAGCCCCACCTAGAATTCTTTCTCTGCTCATACTCCTGCCCTTGCCAGCAACAGCTAGTCATGGTTAAAAGGGAAAGATTAATTCTGCAGAGTGGCTGGCCAAGGAAAAGTGATTTCTCCTTGGCAAGGCTGACAGCACTGCTGGCATGTTAAGAGGCACCTGTCTAGGGGCCTGTAGGTAAAGCCAGAAGAACAATGTGACAGTGAAATATCTTTTGCCTCTGCCTCCTTCTCCCCTCTTCCCCCGGTGTTGGACAGGTGCATGACTAAACAGGTGAATCCTCCTCCAAAGCGTAGTGTGGGGGGCGCAGAGGTCACTGCAGATTCCTTTCCAAAAGCAGGTGAGTCCTGACGCACCCCTAGGTGAGGTTGCCTGTGAATGCGGAGAGCCAGGGAGAGCCAGAGACAGGGAGGACATGGAGACACAGCAGGAGGGAGGAAGAGACAGAGAGACAGGCAGAGGCAGAGACCAAAGAGAAAGAGATGCAAACAGCCAGGAAGATATGAAGAGAAACCCATCAGGATGGAGCAGAAAGATAAGGAAGATCATCAGTGGGGGCTGAGAACAACTTGAACTTGAAAAGTGGAAGGAAACAGAGTGAGGAGCAGAGAGACAAATAGGAAGCGACTGGCAAAGGCGGGGGCGGGGGAGGGAGAGAGAGGGAGAGAGAAATGTAGACAATGGGGAGGGAGAAAGAGAAAGGCAGAGGGTGGAACAGAAAGAGTCACAAGCAAGCAGAACAACACAGGCTTTGGAGGAGACAGCGCCAGACAAACGGGGAGACTGAAATAGAGGTAGACGGCGGAGACGGAAGGGAGGGACAGGTGAGAGCAGGGAGGCCTCCTCTGTGACACACAGACGCAACTCAGGAGGGTAGGAATGTTGTGAGAGGAAGGGGGAGATGAGCGCACACATGTAAATGGTGGGGAAGATGCCAAATCCCGGAAGAGGGAATCCAAGGTGGGGATCAGGGAGGCTCTGGACTGGTTTCCCATAGCTACTGTGATGAGTCATCACCAACTCGGTGCCTTGAAAGAACGGACAAGTATACTCTCACCGTTCTGGAGGACAAAAGTCTGAAATTGGTTTCAAGGTGCTAATGGGGCCACACCCCCTCTGAGGGCTGCAGGGGAGAAATTGCTTCTGGGCTCTCCCAGCTTCTAGTGGCCGCTCTGCACCTTGACTTATGACCTCATCACTCTGGTGTCTGCCTCAGGGCCACACTGCCTTCTCTTCCTGTTGTGTGTCCAGTCTCCCTCTGCCTCCTCCTTATAAGGATGCATGTGACATTTTGGGCAAGCTACTTAACATCTCTGAGCCTTAGTTTTCTCATCTCCAAAAATGGATAATGCTACCTACCTCGCAGGATTCTCATGTTTAGAATATATTAGAAATTATATATCCAAAGCACCTAGCACAATACTGGCAGGTAGTAGCTCTTTATTATCATTATTACTTATGAACCTGTCATCTTCAACAAAGCCCGAGCTCTTCAAGGACAATGGTGTGTAACATTCAAACCTGTTTCCAAAGCCATTTAACTCAGGTTAGGACTATAGCAGAGGCAAGGAAGAAACAAACAAGGTAAGAGGGAGAAAAACAGGAAACGAGATAGAGAGAGAAAGAGGAAATTATTTAAAACATTTTCTGGATGTTCAGGGAAAGGTCTTGCAGGTCCCTTCCATACTGCATGCCTCAGTTTGCTCTCTGTAAGATTGGCTAGAGGGTGACCTCTGGTTCTAATCTAGGTTTCACTCTACCCACTCTGCCCCAGGAGAAGAGGATACCCTTTCCGGCCATCCAGATCAGGGCAGACTTCTCAGGCACGGGGGTAGTACCTCCACTCTGATGGGGTATTTGGAAAAGAAATCAGGCTGGACGCTGGCTGGGCTAGAACAGATGGAGATCTGACCTTAGGAATAATGTGCCTGAGTCTGGACAGGATGTCCTTTGGGGATTTTTGAACTTCAGACCACATTAGGCAGGTTGTCATTCATTCATTATTTGTTACTCATTTATTCATTCAATAGACACTTTGCAAGCATCTCCTGTGTTTTGAGCCATGTGATAGGAATATAGACTACCCTGGGCAGTTAGAGAGAACAAAACAGGAACGGTCCTGCCTTCACACCGCTCACAGTCCAGGCGCTATCAAACTTGTGGACTGGTTGATTCTGTTGTAAGGAGCATCCTTGCCACTAGATACCAGCAAACCCTCCACCCTGTTGTGACAACCCCAAACTGTCTTCAGACTTTGCCAAACATTTCTGTGGTGTGTGTGTGTGGGAATTCCCAGAGACACTGGTCTAAGGGATGCACGATATCTGATGGGGTGCAGCAGGTGAAATGGGGGTGGTGGGCACGGGCAGGAGCTTTCGAAGCGGGCAAGAACTTGACCGAGGGAGGCCCCAGCTCCCCAACCTGGGAAATGTCATCCCCGAGTGCTCCTTGGAGGCAGGCCAAGGGGAAAGGAATGGGACTTCACAGGCTGTGTTGACCTCCTAGGATGGCTGTTTCAGCACCTCTGCTCATTACCTGGGCAGGGAGAGTGGCCTCCTTCTGTGTCCTGCACCCCTTGGCTTCTGGCCTCCTTGCCCTGGATTGCTGGTCTTTACAGCTCATCTATCTCAGGGCCATTCCTCACTCAAGAGGGAAGTTCATTTCTCCTCCCATCTCCCACACTCCAGCTTGTTTCATGCTCTCTCTCCTCTTCCCACTCTCCCGCCACTTCCACGCCGGGAACTAGCACTTTCCCAGCAGTGCCTCCCCTTCCCCACTGATGGCTGACCACAGCTCTGGAAATTCTCTCACAAAGTCTGCAGTGCTTGCCCAGCTGGGCCCCACTCAGCAATTGGTGGGGCTTGGACTCGGCTCAGTGCTAGAGGGAGCTCTGCTTTCCTAAGATGCTCCTAGATATTTTCAGAAGCTTCCACTGATACACAATAAAAACAAGACTAAAGACCAAAGTCAATATTTGTGCAGCAGCATCTTGGAGCAAGAGGGAGGTGGAGAAGAGAGGCATAATAAGTGGGAGGAGCTCCAATGAGTCCTGGTCCAGGCCTCAGGTGTCTTTGGGGGGCTGCACGGCCTTGCTTGGGACAAGTGTCATTTTCCAATCTGGAAAGTTGGGGGAGGGGCTGACTTGCTGATGTTGTGAAATCTTTCAGCTCTGTGATGTTTTGGGAGCCTCTAGATTCCAAGTTCCTACCTGAGGAAGTAGAGACTACCTGGACCCCCAAGTATTATGGGGCAAAAATTTATGCATATGTGTGAATTTTCTGGGGAGGATATTCATAATTTTCCATAATTTTCAAAGAAATCTGTATCCTTCAAAATGTTAAGAATCTTTGCTCTAAAAATGGATGGAGATACTTGAATTTACCATCATCTTTAGGTAATATTCCTTCTCATTTTCTGACTCATTCACTTTTTATACCGTGACTCTTCTGGGGTTAATGAGAAGCTTGTGCTGGAGCGTGCAATCAACCTAGGCTTGGAACACAGTTAACGGGATGTGGACTCTGTCCCAAGTACCCCTGAATTACCTTAGAGGAGCTCAGAGATTCCAGTGGTGCCAGTGCACCGGAGGGGGCAAAGGAACAGCTAAGCAGGGATGGGGAGGGGAGGAAAGTAATAATCAAAACTAGCCTAGAATTTAAGAGGCCCACTAAAGGGTTTGCTGAAGGGACAGACTATGGGGTCCTTGATCTTTAAAAGAAGGCCTCTCCTAGTTCCTTATGTCTTCATTCCTGACTCAGCCTGAATTTGAAGCACTTACATGGATTAAGGGAATAAACAATATCCTGTGAGTCAAGAGACCCATATATGAATGTCAGCTTTTACCAAATTGCTGTATGACCTGGGCTGGGTCACTCACCTCCTCCTGGGCCTCACTTTCCCCATTTGTATAATTAGGAGGAATTGGCTGTGCTACAGTGAAACTCCATTATAATACCTTACTCCTGGTTACCTCCTTACATTTTATCCTCATTTGGGGACATTTTTGTTCCATCTTAAGCAAAATAGAAATGATTCCATCCTTTAAATTCCAATCTTTAGGGCCCTACTGGCTCTAATGTTTTATGATTTTCTTTCCTGCCCTTGTGTCACTTCCTTTTTAACTGTTGTCTTGAACCTGAAACTCAGGGGATGGAGCTCATGTTTATTATCATTTACTATCTTCTGGGCACCATGTTATTTATTACGTGCAAATGAGGTAGATTTTATTATTCCCATGTTACAGGTTAGAAAACTGAGGTGCAGAGATGTCACTTGTCTAACATCACTCAGCTGGCAATTGGAGGTTAAGACTCAACTCAGGTCGGTCCAACCGCAAGGCCTGAGGTTTTTGGGAATTATTATCATGCTATAATTATATTACTATTTTAACTGTCTTAAGATGGATTTATTAATTTATTCAATATTTATTATCTGCTGTGTAAGGCTCTGGGAGGAATGCTATGGATTTGGAGATGAGAAGTCAGTCTTGGTCCTCAGCAGCCCTTAGGAAAGACATGTAAATAAAAACTGCAGTGCAGGGCAATGGCCTTGATGGCAGAGGGAAGTAAGGGAGGGGGGGCCACAGGAAGTGAGACTTAACATTGGAAAGACCCCAGAAGACTTCTTAGATGAGGTAATACCTGCGCTAAACTGAGTAGGGGGCTTTTAACTGGGATGAATCTGCAGTAAGTAACTTCGTCAATGAATAATTGAGAATTTACTATGCACCAGGTACTTTTCTAGATGCTGAGATACAACGGTGCACATGTGCTCATGGAGTTCGCAGCTCAGCAGGGGAGATAGTCAATAAACAAACAAATGTAGAATGAGGTTGGAATCTAGGGGACCTAACAAAAGAGTAGG